GTACGAGAGGCGGCTGAAAAGCAGGATTTGAAGTGATAATTATCATTGATAATTGACCTTGGTAGGTTCCATCCCTATGTTATGGGTATTGAAAAGATTACGCTTTCATATTTATATGGCGAACGCCTATGGAGTGGAATTCCTTGCCGGCCTTTTCAAAGCGAGATTGAATAGGCATTATTTAGGTGTGCATGCTCCATCGTGGATCTCATCATCACTTTCCATCAGGTGAGTTGGAGGTCAATTGAGCACTTATTCTATCATAAAAAAAATAATTGGAACGATAAAATGCTACCGCTAGCAAAATCGTGTGATGTGTTTGTATTAGAGACGTATCTGAACGTGTGAAATGTTAATCTCAATTTGAAATTCCCAACTCAAATCGTTTTCTCAAAGATTTGTCTTCGTCTTTATTTAGTTTTCTCACTGTTTATCAGTTTTAGTCAGAAATTAAAGAGACAACACTATGAATCATGGATAATTATCGAACATATATCGAATAATAATCATGATAAATATTAAATAAAAAATTCTTGATTATTTCGAATGCTGCTGAAACGTAATCTCTTTTGACTGTTGTCAATTAAAAACTAACTATCGTGACGTGTTTGCCGTTTATTTCCATTTGCTAATTAGTGACACTCTTTTGTTTGTTACATTATTTCGTTTTACTTGAACAACAGAGTAAAGAAAAACAAATGATAATGGTAAGTGTATTATCGTTGCAGAAATATTAAAAAAGTAGCCGTTATCGTCTTGTATCTCATTCTTAGGTAGATTACTTTTCAACCGCCACTCGTATGTGCACACATATTAATTAGTGCACATATAAATAAACGTTACGATTATTACAATATATAATGCTGTATAATATATTTTCGTACTTGGGTATTTCTGTTGCTTTCTACATGGCACACTGTAAGATTTACGCTCTTTTCTAATCGGGGACAGCCTTCTACTTACGATCCTGACACACATCTTTCGCCTCATCAACACGCATCTACGCTTTCATACACGCTCGTCGGTTAAGGGCACTTTGTTCTGGCCTTTCTTTAGGACGTCCTCAATTTGGTCATGGTAAGTTCATCTTGATCGGCCCTTACCAATTTGCACAATAGACTTAAACGTACCGTCAATTTTCTTTCATTCATCCTCTCCATATGTAATTAATAGATTCAGGCGTTATTTTGCGGAAGTCCATGTTAACAAAAATGGAAGTTAATTAATAAGCTATTCCGAAGAGAATTTCTTCGGCTGAGCGTCGAGCAATCAACAGCTCCTGAGGATGCCTCGTGGTGGATGGTGGTGTTTGTGACTGTAGTTGTGCTGGTGTTATTTATTTTATGCGGAGGGAGGGTGGGATAATTAACTGCATGAAAAAATATTTAACACAAGCGCAGCTATTTTGCACGATTTAACCATCACTAGTTTAACTTCCATTTTTATTCTCTCCATATGTCTGAGAATCACAACCACCTATATAAGAACAATCTTTTACTCAAGTCGTTTGATCATATGTGATACGCACAATATTTGCGTGATAATCATTATTCACAAACACTTAGACCTTTTGTGATACAGGTAAATTATAGTGATTGAGTTATTTCATCCTCGAAGAAATAATTGATGATGTTCCAACAATTTCTATAATCTTGAGCCTGAAGCAAAACGCGTTGCATAACCTGTTGCATAATAAATTTAGTAGCTCTACGTAGCCCCATGGTCTGTGAAGATAGCGAACCATTTCGACATGGTCGGTAACTCCTAAGAAATGATGAAGTTAAAAAAATCGTTTTCTAAAAAGCGACTAAAACAGGTATTAATTATCACCCGCCTCGTGATTAAGAACTGATTACCCAACAACTTTGCGACTTGGTCAATGTACCAGTTTTAGATAAGATATTCTCGTATCGTTCATTTAGGTTGTTGTCAACGGTGAACTGACCTGTGACTTCTTCAAATGGAATTTATTTTATATAACAAAATTGCAACAGGTTTCTTCACGAGAATTTTAAATTAATTCCGGTTTCGGTTAGTTCGAGTTTCGATATCAAAAGCGAGTATGGCGTTATTGTCTTCTAAATAGGCAACTTGGTTATTTCAATGTCAGAGAATGTGTTTAAAGTAAAGCTCAAACTCAAGGCAAGCTGCTGGAGACCTGTGGATACGACAGTACAGAGACGGCTCAGTGTCTGTTTAGAGTGTGTATATCACATTCTTCACGAGAGGGCCACCTGTAACGTTATGCAACATTGCTCTTAACTGCTTATTATAGAAGTACTCAAATAATTATAACAAATAATCAAATATTACGTTAACAGACGTTGTATACACTGATGGCAATCAAGACAAGATTCATTATTTGATTGTCATGGAAAGAGACCGAACGCCTTTCTCTAAGTATTATTAGACGTTGTAACGGTGACTCAGCTTTGGAGAGCTATTTATCTTGATTTAGAAAAAAAACAAGGAATCGTTACAGGTTAAATGACTAATACATCCATATATGAATGTTTATTCACTTGTGACTTCAACACAACGGTATTCTTATTATATTATTACTATGTTAATCTATTCTAATCTAGCGTGGAACAGGTCTAGATAAAATACAAGGAATTTCTGTTAATAGCCGAATCGCTAACAAACAAGTGAATTGAGGTTAACATTCGATTTGGCCGTTATGTGCACAAGGATGGGCAGCAACGGGAACTTTGCCAAAGTCGTCCTGAATATTAAGTTGATTGTCAAATAAACTGTGGCCACGTTCTATGTATTTGCTGGTGGCCTGGTACCGTTACGAGCGACGGTGCTGTACGTCGGTAAAGGACATAGGTCTTTGGGTCGGATGTCGACCATATTTTGTGCTTCCATATTTGTTTAGCGATCATTAAACTAGTCTAGATGTGTTCCATGAATAAGTTGTTTATGTATCGAGTTCTTGGGTTTTCGCAATTGTTACACGTAGGAAACGAAAATGTTTTTTTTTTGATCTAAATCTATCTTATTTGTTTTTTCAAACAAACCAACATTTCGGCCCCTTTAAATATCCCGTGGTGACTGCTGAATGTGATTGTAAAGTCATCAACCAATTATGTCTAATATTGCATTAATATTAAACATAATGTTGCATTAATATTAGACATACCTGGTTGATATATATGTGGGATGAATGTAACATTATGAACGAATGGTTGCTGTATACGAGCGGTTAGAATGACTGGAAGATGTTTCGAGGAGTGTATGGGTGTACATTATGCGAGTCGATGATTTAGCTGCAAGGGGTATTTTTCAGTTGTTATTTTATTTCATTATTTTAAACTGTTTAAATACCACTAAAAATAAAATTTGTTACACAGGTGACTAATGAATATACAAAATTAATGTATAATATTAATTTTCTAGTTGGCAATCTATCCGCAAACAAATAATCAGAAATTGATTTTGCTTGAAGTCAATGCATCTATTGAACTTTGTTAATTTGATTGCAAGACCCAGTAAACTGCAATGGGAAGCGCTGAATTTCTAATGTACAACAAAATGTATTAAACATTATTACATGCTTCGGCCCTGCTCTCAGTATTGTATGAAAAATGTATTATGGTCTTAGACAATCTTTTTTTTATAACATCAAGTGACGGAACGACCAAGTCGTGAGCTTGATGGTAAGCTACACGCCTGTCCATAACAGTTATAGTGCCACTCAGAGCTTTAAATTGAAAAAATCTGAGAGACACTACCACTGCGCTCTTCGCCCTGAGACAAGAGTAGACATGTACCTGTAGTTTCACCTTCAAAACCGGAACACAGTAATGCTAATATTACTGCTTGGCGGCAGAAATATGTAAGGTGGCAGTACTACATTGGACGAACTCTTTCACAAGGAGCTCCGCTGCTGCTAAATCTATAGCGCTAAATTTGAATGTGATATTTTCATTATAATGTGTACTGGGCGTTTACGTTACCATGGGATAATAGCCCCCTTTACGCAGTCACTCTATAGCGCGTGATAAGGAGCGTACAGGATTGCGGGAAAGCCTGCACGCGCAATCGTGTGCGATTACCTGTTTGAAATTTTTTAAGCTAACATTCTTTCGTGCGCGATTGTTCGTTTTGTTTTTCTTGCAACGGAAAAAGCGTCCGTGTAAAGGCTAATAGCGAAGGATAGACCGCGTAAAACTGACGCGTGTTGGAGCGCGCGACTGATGAGCGCAAAACGTAGTAAGTATACCACACTTACTACGTCACAACGCGATTGCGCCCTTTTCCTTCTAACGTCTTTACACGAGCGCAATCGCGCGCGATAAATGTATCACGCGGGATAGAGTGTTCGTATAAAGCTCGCTGTTCTCTGGATCTGAATCACTGCACACGTATTATATGTAGTTTGATATGCCCGGGGTGGAGTTTATTCAATCGTGTCCGTCATGTTTCTGCTTTAAAAAATTGTAATCCATTTAAACATATTTGTCCAAAAAGCAGTGTGCGCAGATTTTAAAAGTAACAGTAGTTGTCCTTAAAATTTTTCAAGTTAGATATAATTCATTAATGAATATACGAATGCTCAACATTTATTTGCATCGACATTGAAACATCCGGAAATGTATGACATTTCCGTGAGAAATAACGTAACGTCTTCTTTCATTAAAATAGATTTCGAGTTTTGCCTAAAGTTGCATCACGTTTACGATTTCTATTAAAATTATAAAAAGTTGTCATTGCGGAACACAATTTTAATGGTCGTCGTAATTACGTCTAAATATTGCGCTGCAGATGCAAAACGCGAACTTAATGATATGATAGTGTCGGACAATTGTCAATAGAAATAACTAGCTGGCTATAATTGAGGATCGATTGGTGAGAAGCTGCCGAAGCTGTCGAATTCACTTTCACATCGACGCATACGCACACGTGGTGAGTCTGAATTTGAGCAATTTGAAGAAAGTGAGAGGTGTTTTTTCTTTACTCAATGTGTTTACGAGGCAACGGGCTAATGTACTTACGTACTCCAAGAGCACCTGTTCAAGCTGTAGTACTTTGCTGGAAATAGCAGTTTTGCTCTTGTAACTGCTTTCGTTCCCGTTATCGGAAATTTCGTTTTACCTGTGAAAGAAAATAAAATCAGTTCAATGGAGAAATAAAATTTCAGTATTCATTTTATTTTACATTAATTCGACTTCCATGATTTCCGTGCACAATTATCGTAGTAGATAAAGCTATGGCACAAATATAACTTTAAAATAAAAACATTTCTAGGCGGGTAAAAGCTTGTAAGGGTAATCATTCGACGAATATTATGCGTAAAGGGTTCGTACCTTTCGTTACAAACTTTAATATTTCCTTATCATGTTTTGGACGTAGCATAAAAAGTTGCTGAGGAAAAATAGTGTAGGTATGTGCGGCATGTACAGAAGGTAACATTAGCGTATCTTTGAACTAAGTCGGATGGATATGAAGTATGAGCATAGCTTTGTGGTTTACTGTGCATTTATTATTATTACTGTGGATGTTATCATTTTTACGGGTAACAGTGCCTGTGACCCAGATAGCGCGTAACTGTATAGCTGCTATTTGTTTCCTAAACGCAGTTCGACGAGTTTCAATGTTAGTGCATATACATCCAAACTAATATTATAAATGCGAAAGTAATTCTGTCTGTTACGTTTTCATATTTAAACCGCTGAATCAAATTTGATGAAATACGATGTAGAGGTAGATGATTTTTAATAGCAGTAGAGCTCCTTGTGAAAGAGTTGACCCAAGGAAGTCTGAGTCATGACTGCCGCCTTACCTACTTCCGCCGCCAAGCAGTAACGTTTGTATTACTGCGTTCCGATTTCGAAGGATCAGGGTGCTGGTGAAATTACAAGCATGTGGGACTTGTCAACTTATGTCTCAGGGTGACGGGCGTAGTGGCAGTGCCCCTAAGACCTTTGCGATTTGAAGCTCTGAGTGGCACTGTAACTGTTATGGACGGACCTGTAGCTTACCATCAGGCGCGCAACTTGTTCGTCCTGTTACTTGATATTAAAAAAAAATCAAAAGATTGAACCTACGAGATGGACATATTATGCTACTTTTGATGAAAGTTTGTATGGAGATAGAAAATGAAACTATTTTTCCGGATTTAAATCGCGTATATTTGTTTTTTCAAACAAACCGACGTTTCGTTTGTATGGAGAACCAATTATTTTTTAAATAATTAGTAAAGAAGGATACTCAAAATGGTTATAACACGCAGACAAAGCATCAGGGCACCAGTATCTTATAGTTACGTACTGCTAAAGATTAGGTACAAAATTTGCTGTCGAGATATGAACGCAAGGAAAATGTAATTACAGGATGGTATTCGATTGCATGCTGCAATTTGCAGAGTGCAATCTAGATAGGATGGTAATCGAAGCTTAAAGTACCTATTAGTCATTTTTGCTTATGTACTACGTGCAGTATCCGGATGGTTAATAGGTCGTGGTATTATAGTTACGATAAATTTTATTAAGGAACTTTCTTCAGGCATACATTGATTAAATGTCGATAGAGCTACGTTTAACAGGGTTATAGACCCTGAATAATCCCCATGTCTATTAGGTTAGTCGATTACAAATCAAACCTGCTTCGCAGCGGGTTTTCTGCGTATAACGGAACGTACTCGGTGGATCGCGGCCTACAAGATGGCGGAAGTTACCACTATTGTATATGATAAAAGCTACGATAATGTGTCGTTTATTTCAAGTTTTATCTTAGATTCATTTTAGCTTGTTAGCTGGCATTATTTGATATTCTTTTCAGTTCACACAATGGTGTTAGGTACTGTGTCTGTACAGTGCGTTGGAAGTACGATGAGGTTATTATTTGTTTTAAGTAACGGTTAGTTAGTTATTAATAATGAAAATAATAATCCGCACACTAGGGAAACCCTGTATCGCGGGTGCCATGTATATACACATAAGTAGACAACCACAAACTACACCCAAAGTCACGAGAGAAATAAATGTAGACCATACAAATATTACTCCCGGCACGGGAATCGAACCCGGGACCTCTGGCTGGCAGTCCAGCATGGTATCTCTTCGGCCGCGGAGGCCGTATAAAATTCAGTTATTATCTTACGACTAAATAAATAAAGAGAATAAGCCAATTTTTTAAATTATATTTTTGGACTACTTCAGTGGGCGCACCGGTTTTTATGGTGTCGCAATCTCTGAAGTCCCGGGTTCGATCCCCGGCCGGGTCCATGTAGAAAAGTAACTTTTCTAAATTGTCTCGGGTCTGGGTGTTTGTGGTATCATTGTTGTTTCCGATTTTAATAACACAAGTGTTTTAGTTACTTACAATTGGATCAGAGCGACGTAAGTAATATTATCTAATATTCTATAATGTGTTTATTGTCACAAATTCTGCTTGTACAATATTTACAAACTTGACACTCCTTTGCCTAAGAAGGTTTGAGTGTACTACGTAGTACGATGTACTCACTCAATGAGTACTTCACAAGTAAAGAGAAAAAAACAGTATAAAGCCCGTTCATTACGATATGAATACAAATATAATACATTCAATACGAGTACAAATTCAGGTAGATTCATATATTTACTTTTACCCCTTTGTATCTTTAATTTCCGTTGATCCGAAATACATTACACAAAAGAGTACAATTTCAAAACGTGCCTTCGTAAATAACGATCAAACAATGCTGGTAAATATAAATAAATAAATATGAGTGCGATACATGTTGAAGATTTCTTAGTAATACATTGGAAAGTTGATACGTGCTTAGCTTCGTCCGGTCATCATAAGCCGTTCACGTCCTCATACGTGCCTACCGCTAACACTTAAAATGGGCCCTTATACTTAGTGTCACTCGTTCATTGACTGTTTTACAGTTACAATCTTTTTCTGTCTCCCCTTCCCTACAAGGAAGGCCGACGCGTCTTCAATATTCATATTCTAAAGTGAAAGAGTCAATACGAATGAAAGAAAGTAGCAATGTTATGGATTATTTCTATTTAAACTATTTTGGAACACAGCTGTTCGCAGCTTGAACGAATTTCCAAGCAGAATCTAAACACCTATCAATACTAGTGCCAAGTATTGACAATAAAGTCTAAGCATCTGAGTTACTCGGTTTTTACACAAAATCTGGAACAAAATCGATCAAGTTGGACTGTGGTAAACTTGCAGTAAGAGCTAAGTACTTGTTAGTAAGGTCATCTCGTAGTCAACAGCTAGTAATTAACCTCGAGAAAGCTACCGGACAGTAAGTGGGAGTTTCCGGAGACCGACAAGACCTAATCTGTAGGTTTAAGGACTTTGTAGGTTAGTGTGTCGCAAACTGTGCAACTTCGCTGTTTCCTTTTACTAGCAGACGGCGGCTTTACAAAATGACTAGGTATCTTGGAACACACGTTTTCTATGCATTCGACGAGTGTAACAGTAAGTGCCGATTTAAGAGACAAGTAATTAGCAGGTCTGGGGAAAGTTATTGACAAATGTCCAATTGTTACGTTGTATGTTTTCACACGTTCGACGCTGCATTGGGGTCACATTCGAAACTTTCGTATTGAAAATAAAGGCGTTGTTTTTTCACGAGAAAACTAATTTTCCGTTCGGACATAGTTGTCAGTGTGTTCAATACATATGCGTGGTGACAGTTGTGGCATTTTCCACTCCCTCCCGTGATGCGGAAGAGGCCCCTCTAAACGACTCGCGCGCTTGTGTTACGAGAAAAAAAATCACGTTAGAAAATGGGAAGTCAACAGTCGGAAACTGGTTGTTCAAGTTTACTCTTTGCATTTCTTTAAAAAAAGAATTGCGTAGGTACAATTTGCTTTTTAAGATTCATTTAAGCGTAGTGCTTAATTTTTTCTTCGCACAATAAGAAAATCACAAAAAGCTTACAATATTATATGGTTGACAATTTGATGATAAAAGTTTGTAATCTGATGAAGCTTATAGTTCCAACAAGGCAAATGTTTATCTTTCTGCTGAGTCACGCTCGGCACGACCTAAAAAGTAAAAGTCAGAGTGTTTAAATAGTTGGAGATTAAGAAATAAAACGAAAGTAGAACCAAATGTGGACAATATTACAGTGAAAAAACGTACCATGTTGTGTCAAAATACCAAGTGACTGTGGAGAGGTTAAAACACAAAAATGCAAACTCCACGTTCACGTGAGGAACGTATTTTGCGGTCACTTTGGGACGTAATATAATGTGCAAATTTTACTTTTTATTTGAATTTCGTTTTCAACTTCTGTACATCTCGTTATTTACAAAATAAAATTTACAACGACTCATATTGTTGTATTTTTATAGGCGTTAACACGAACGTTCAAAGATGAAATGAAGTAGAAGTTTCGAACCAATTAAGATTGATTTAACATCTGTTTCAATAAATAATGAAAAATGAATCGTCGTTTTATAATTAGGACCAATTCAGTCGCTATTTGGCAAAAATGTTCGTATAATGACAATGTCAGGGATACGTGAAAATTTTACGAATGGCGGGTATATTTAGTATTCCATTTGAGCAATAAAACAAAACGAATGGCTGTAATGACATCATATCGCAGCCATAACGACTAATGATGTTAGTATACGCGATTGCGGTCCCTATTTTTCCTCACTCAACTTCCTCTCGCCGAGAAGGATGCTCCCGATATGGGGTGAACCATCGTTCAGACTTCCCTTAAGCGGCAGGTGGGAAATTATTATTATTAGCAGCAGCACTTTCCGTTCATTGAACCGACACCGTTAGCTGGTTTACGCATTTAGCTCTCGCCACAGGCGTGCGGCATGACACAAATAACAATTGGCCAATTGGTTACTGCTTGTAAGAAATAGGACCGTGTTAACGGTCAACTTAACCTACTGCTTAAACGGTGCGATTCGAATAGTTAACGTGAGACAGGTGTAAATGTCGACGACAAAACCGAATCACCACTAACAACCCGTATGATTTAGTTATTACGAACAAAATGGAGTAAAAAATGAGATAATGGGACCGTTTTATGCCGCATTATTTGACGACAATCGTGTTTTCATCCGCGCGTTTTTGCACCGCCATTTTGAGTTCCTGTTGCGAGGAGGCATTGCGGAATTGAC